CCAATATGACTGTCACAGCTGCCAACGCCAGCAGCGGTCTATGGACTGAAGCTTTGCGAGAAATTTATGTCAACAGCATTGCACTTCCATCAGTAGTTGAAAATAACACAAAAGCAATGAATAACGGCAGTGATGGTCTAACAGCGAGAGTTCTAGGTGGGCTTTTCACCAATGTATCGTTCAACAACTCTCAAGTGAATATTTCCATCAACTTTCAGTCGAATGTTTATCCCAACGATTCAGCTAATGGCAGTTGTCTGTTGTCAATTTCTACAGATAAAAAGATTAAAGTTTTCGGACTTTTCATGAAACTCTTCTCTGTTTGTAAAGAAATAAAATATCAATCAATACACGTATTCACACTCAAGGTACTTACCTTATATCAATCGCGATTTTAAACTTTCAGTGCTTTCGCTTGCATACTTCATTTCTTTCAGTTTTGCCACCAAAGAGGTAAAAGGTGTAAATTGTTTTCTTTCTCGAGCAAATAATTTGGAAATTTGAAAAAAACATGTTAAAAATAAACGGCTTGTAAATTCAGTGAAATACCACCATTATCCTTTGATAGTGTGAAGCTTGTTTAAGAAGTTTGAAAACGATTGCAAAAACAAGGTTCAAATAAAAGATGTTGGAGGTTCAAACGCGTACATTGACCTTGCTTACTATTCGCTAATGCAATGACAGTTCTGACAGTTCACTTCGAAATGGCTTTCTAGAGCACGCGCTCAGGATAAAAACAAACAAAATTATTGCTGTTTTCTTATTTTTCTATTTTTATTCAATGATGCAATTCAAAGAAAATTCATCACCTGACTCGTGAATTCCGCGTTAAATTGCACTTGAAAACCGATATTGCACTCATCCCTTCGCGATTCGTGCGATATCGGTTTTCGCGCACAATTTAACGCGGAATTCCCTCGCCAGTTGATGAATTTTCCTGTAGTATCTTCCTATGGTAGAAGACCTATAGCGCATCATATATATGGTAGACTTAATCATTTCCTTAAAGTGCTACTGAGACGAAGACTGATGTTCTTCAAACAAGATTTTTTATGCTCAGAACTTAAGTTTAGAGCCGGAACAAAAATAAAAATATAGAAGTGAGACCTATGTCGGCAAGAAATGTTCTAAAGAAGTTTGACTAAAACTCGCTAAATGTCGTCCGCCATTGCTCAAACGACAACTATTGAACCAACGATAATTTTCAGCGTCTTTCCCCATTGTGACGTCATATTATTCCTTTCGTCGCAGTTCTGTCGAAAATAGAAATGGAATTCAGCGGCGATCTTGTTTGAAAAACTCCGCTTTTCCTGGTCGTAATACTTTTCTATGGCTTGCTCATCTGACCCCTTGTCAAGCATTAAGTGTAAAGGACCTGGCGTAACCTTTTTTCTGGCTCATTGCCGCCCTTTTAATATCCTCTCTTGATATGGTTATAAATTACAGAGTGCATCAAGATGAAGGATTGCGAAAAGAAAAAAAGAGTCAGATCACACATGTTGCACCTTAGTTTTTGCAAGGACGCCCTTGTGTAAGTTGATATGTATGGGCATGATCTATGCATTAAGCAAAATTTCACCATAACTTAATGCTACCTTGGCCTTTCATGGCATTTCCTTTACATCCTCGTACTTTGGGTAGGTCACTTAAAGACGTGGCTGGCCTTGATTTTCCGCCTTTGTTTCTTTCAAAGGTTATAGTCAAAATGAAGGGCTGCCAGCGGCAGGATTGATATTTAGTAGAGAAAATAGAACTAACCCATATTTAGCACAACAATTGAGAATAAGTAATTGCTACCAAATTATTTCTAGAACCAAGAATTTGAAAACAGAATAATGTGGTATACAGTAGCTATAAGTAAATAAATCCACATAATCCAAGTTTTCCTCTTTGAAATTATCAGTGGGGCCATGCTATGCATATCATGAAGGAGCCAATTTGACCTGCCCCCCCTCCCCCGAAAATATAATAACTCCTGATAATGTTTCAATTAGTAAGAGTATTCTTTTTTTAACAAAATAGTACCTGTTGCTTTGCTTTTCTTATACAGTGAAATTAACTACCTGTAGTGTGCTTTAAATGAAATTCCATAAACCTGCGGAGTATAGGAATGAGTTGGTCTACATCTTTGGGGCAAATTGATTAACTACAGATTGGTAGCCCTACTGAAAGCTTGTCTTCTCAACTGCAGAGGCCTTTTCCATGACGTTTGTCGGGCCTGGTTAAGTTAGGGATGCAGAAAATTTTTCATACACCTAGAGTAACATAGAGCTATTGATATCCATGGATTAAAGCTAACTGCTACATTCGTGCAATTTTTAAAGGGAAAGGTAAGACTTTATTCCAACAAAACAAATTGTTTGTGTTTAAACCTTACATGGCAGATTATGAGTCTAGGAGAATGAATGAATAGATAACAAAGAAAATAAAAGGAAACTTAACTCACGAAAAGTTCAATCGTTGCATTTTCTTGATGTCCAGAAAACTTGAGATGAGAACGAACGAAACAGTCACGATCTTAACAACAATCGCCCTTCGGCGACTTCTTGGAGGCATGGCCAGCTGAAAAGTGTTATCCATATTCTGGGAATGGAACGCGAGGCAATCCTTTTTCGTGCCCAATCGACGTGGAGACTTCTTTCAAATGATCGGCGGTTAAATGATCCCAACATATGAAAAAGAGACTTCGTGGAGATACGAATGATGTGGGCGTACGAATGCTATGCATTACCTTTCGTAACCATTTCGTTTGGCCTGTGTAGCGACGGATATTTCAGCATTTTTATTAAAGAATAATTGCTCAATCCTGCATAACACAACTTTAGGGTGGCATTTCCAGGCTTAACACGATGTCTCAACTCTCCTAAATCTTTACAAGTACAGCTGTCTCCGTCCACTTCTTAGCTACGAGCTTGCGCGAAAATTTGGGGATAAAATGACGTGACAGACTTCTAAAAAAACCGGACTTCCACTTAGACTTTTCATTTCAAATCTCGTGGGAGTGATTAGTAGCCAGCAAGGATTCTAAAAAGTGAAATTATAGCAAACGCTAAACTTGGTCTCAGCAGCACTTAAAGCTAACTTGCTTTGTAATTCTTTCTTTAGAAATGAGAAAGATAATAAAAGCGACAAAAAAAAATAGACTTAAAAATACCGACCACCGATATGTCGTCATGAACTCCTGCGAAGTTCTGCAGCTCCCGCAGACAAATCTTGAAGGAAGCTGCTGTGACATCTTCAAGCCATACACTGGTGGCATCATGCATAAGGCGCGATCTGTAGTGCTCAGCTGTTGCAAAAATCGTCGGTGGTTTCGAATATTTTCCCTTTAGAAATTAGACGGAATAACTCTGTAGAGAAACTTTTTTTTTATTGAAGTTAAAAGTATATGCTAATCACGTCGACTCCTATGAATTAAAACCAAACAAACGAACGAACAAATCAAGAAGATGAAAAAGAGGCAGGCGTATCATGCATCGAGTAAGCTGAACCCTTATCCAACTGTTTTCAGAATAGCCTATTTCTAAAGTGTTCAAAAAGAGGTCAG